CTGGCTAAATTTATTTTTATTTTTAAAAACAACTTATTTATTTCAGTTTTTTGAGGTAGGCTTCCACTATCTATTGTAGCCTTAAGTTTTCTCCGGTCCCGCTCAGCCTGAGGTCCAGTGTTCCTCCAGTCTTGCCTGGCCCGCTGGTCCCTCAGCCACTTATAAAATAATCATTCAGAAGCTTAATATTAATTACCAATTGAATGGCCTACGGCAGACTTCTTGCTAGCTAGCTCTTATAACTTAACCCATTTCTATTAATCTATAAATTGCCACATGGCCGTGGTGTTACCAGTCTGCTGGCATCTTGCTTCTCCTTGGGCAGTGGCTGGCATCTCCCTCTCCTCTCCTTTTTTCTTTTCTTTTTTTTTTTCCTCCATATAGCTGCTTGGATTTCCCACCTGCCTCTAAGCTGCCTTGCCATAGGCCAATACAGCTTTATTTATCAACCAATCAAAGCAACACATATTCACAGCATACAGAAAGACATCCCACAGCACTGTATAGCCCTGGCTGTCCTAGAACTCACTCTGTAAGCCTGGTTAGCCTCTAACTCACAGAGACTGCTCTGCCTCCTGAGTGCTAGGATTAAAGGTGTGCATCACTGCTGTCTGGTTATTTGTTTTAGGTGTGTGGACATTTTGCCTCTGCATGTATGTCTGTATACCATGTGCATGCCTGGTGCCCTCAGAGGCAAGAAGAGGGCATTGGATCCTCTGGAACTGGAGTTATGGATGGTTGTAGCCTGCCATCTGGGTACTGGGGATTGAACTTGGGTCCTCTGCAAAAACAAAAAGAGCTTAGACCGCTGAGCCATTTTGCTCCTGCCCTTTTTCTTTATTTTTGTTTATGTGCATGTCTGTGTGAAGTTATGCCATGTGGGTGCAGTGCCCTCAGAGGCCAGAAGAGAGAGGGCATCAGATTTCTTGGAGCTGAAGTTACAGGTTATTGTAAGATGCCTGACATGGTGCTAGGAACTGAATTTGGGCCTTTGTAAGAACACAAAGGACTCTAACTGGCCAGTGCTCGCTCTCTCTCTCTCTCTCTCTCTCTCTCTCTCTCTCTCATTTTTATAGGTTTTTTTTGAGACAGGGTTTCTCTGTGTAACAGACCTGGTTGTCCTTGTACTTGGTTTTTAGGCTAGGCTGGCCTCAAACTCACAGAGATCCGAGTGCTTCTGCCTCCAAGTGCTGGGATTAAAGGCGTGTACCACCACCCGGCTCTCTCTTTTAATTCGTAGGTGTTTTGCCTGTATGTATGTGTAGCACATGCATGCCGATGTTCTCTGAGGCCAGTAGGGGATGTTGGATCACCTGGGATTGGAGTTACACTTGGACGCTGCCATGTGTGGGTGTTGAGATCGAACTTGGGGCCTCTGGAAGAGCAGCTGTGGCTCTTAACCACCGAGGCTCACTGCAGCGTCCATCTTCCTCTCTTTCTTTTAAAGATTTAAATTTTTTAAATTTTAGGTGTATGTTTGCCTGCCTGCATGTATATATGTGCACCATGCGTGTGAATGGTGCCGTTGGAGGCCAGGAAGGGACTGAATGCCCTGGAATTGGAGTTACAGGCAGTTGTGAGCCTCCACGTGGGTGCTGGGAACTGAACCCAGATCTGCAAGAGCAGCCAGCGATAACTGCCGGGACACGCCCCCAGCCCCGTGCGGGCTTTCCTGCAGGGGTCTCTCTGATTGCGTGGCTAGCATTCTGCCCACTGAGCCACCTCCAAGGGCCCTCTTTCTAGGTGGAGCTCACTCCAGATGAACCTGGTTCCTTCCTGCTGAGATCCCAGAGTGGGTAGGTGAGGCAGGCCCCTTTCCTGCCTCATTTTTGAGTCAGTTCACGTTACCTGCCCCTTTACGGGCATCGGGGCCGGGCGAGCCTTTCTGACTCCCCGGCCAGGTGCGTTCTGCACAGCACCAGGGCGGTGGCCTCTGCCTTTAACCCTATTAGCAATTTCTCATTTTCTCCCCATGACGTTCTGAAAGTCCTTGACCCCTCACACAGCCTAGGCAGTCTAGATTTGTGACATTCCTGTCATTCTATTTCCAGCCCTTAACACAGTGCCCGGGACTCAGATATTTCTTGAATGATCAGATCGGTTGTTTTTTGTTTGTTTTTTTAATCGTCACTGGAGTGCGGGGGATAGGACCCAGGCCTCATGCCCTCTAGGGATGCACTCTACTGCCAGGCTCTGCCCCACCTCATAAAAAAGACTCCGTAACCTCCCACTGGTGTTTCAGGAACTGCTAGCAAAGGTCCTGTGTCACCTGAGTGCCCAGTGGACAGCTCGCGCCTATCCCAAGGATGGTGGTTAGTACTGAATAATGAATGGTCGCAAACTCACACTGGACACTCAGTCTCCTAGTGAGTGAGCTAAGGGCACATTAGACATGATCCCTGTCCCCTCCCTTCTCACCCTCCCTCCCTTTCTTTTCTTCCTTTTTTTTTTTTCCTGAAGCTGGGTCTCACTATGTAGCCAACCTCACACCTCAGACAGCAGTCTTCCTGCCTCTACCTCCCAGTGCCTAGTTTATTTTTCTTAATTAATTTCCTTTTTTTTTTTTTTAAATGTTGTTGTTTTTGTAACAGGGCTTTGCTATGTAGCCCTGGCTAGCCTGGAACTCACTACATAGACCAGGCTGGCCTCAAACTTGCAGTGATCCTCCTGCCTCTGCTTCCCAAGTATTGGAATCACTGACGTGCACCGCACTTGGCCATGTTTTTTTGTTTTGTTTTGTTTTTGATTTTTTGAGACAGGGTTTCTCTGAGTAGCTTTGCGCCTTTCCTGGAACTCATTTGGTAGCCCAGGCTGGCTTTGAACTCACAGAGATCCGCCTGGCTCTGCCTCCCGAGTGCTGGGATTAAAGGCGTGCTCCACCACCACCACCACCACCACCACCACCACCACCGCCTGGCCGCACTTGGCCATGTTTTGATGGAAAACTCTTATCTGAGGTTGAGTGCAGGTGCTCATACCTATAATTTTGTAGCAATGGGGGTGAGGAGGTAGAGGGCTCCATAGTCAGACCCCGTCTCAAGGAGACAAGCCAGGGCTGGGGGTGTAGTTTAGTGGAAGAACTCTAGCCTAGCGTCAGCAAAGCTCTGGGTTCGGTCCCCTGCACCACAAAACGGACAGCACCTGGAGTCTGTCTGTTCCTCGGTGTCAGAACTGGAGTGCCTCAGTTTCCCCCTCGTTTTGGTGGGACTACCCATGCATGTGGGGGGTGGGAGGGTGCTGGGGAGGCAGGGGATGCGCAGGGACTGAGCACTGAGCAGGCACCTCCAGTGGGGAAGAGCTGGCTCAGGACACTGGTCCAGAGGCTGAGCTGGCAGTGTGCCCACTGCATGGGCACGTGTTGGTTAGAGCGTGGCTTAACAGAAAGCACTGGGGTCCCGTAATGTAAGCGCACACTAGCCATGCCAGCCTGTAATGGCCTGCTCACGGCTGGCTCTCAGTTCTAGCCCCATTATGAGGTATTTGTGCTTGGGATATAAATTATAAATCTAAACACAGGCAGGGCTTGTGTCCCCCCACCCCCACCCCCACCCCTCGCCCCCGTCCCCCCAGAGCAGATTCCGAGAAGGATGAAATCGGCCAACCCAAATAAACTGTGCACTGGCCCGCTGTTTCCAGAACCACGTAAACCTTTGAAGAGGGGCCTGGGAACAAGCGCCCCACCATCAGGGTTCAATTTAGGCCGCACATATTTGAGTGGTTTACTAGAAATCTGTGGCAAAGACAGGCATGCACGGTGGTGGCGGGGGACACAGCAGAAGTGTCGCATCAAACCGTGAAGGACGCAGCTGAGGGTCTCCTCACAAACCCAGAGCTCTCACAGGAGTCCTGCACACCAGAGGCCGGCAGGACTCCTCCGCTGGTGGAGTCATCTCTGGAATGCGAGGCTCACTCTCCGTGGAATGTCAGGGAGACGACAGTCCCCACGTGGAGAAACACAGGCCCTCCAGAGAAGCCCCATGGGTGCTTGTGTGTGGAAACAGTTTACTTAACTGGACTCGGTTTGTGCGAAGATTTAACCCTGGCAAGAGCTGTTGTGTGTGTGTTGGGGGTGGGGTGGGGGTGGTATTGTTGGGCTTCTCTGGCTTTCTTTAGGGTCAGGCCTCCACCTCTAATCACCCCCTGACTGATAAGGTTTCCAGATTGCAGGGCTGCTCCATTCCTCTGCTAAACTGAGGTTTCTGGTCCGTACCAGAGGTGGACCCTGTCAATCCAAAGGCTTTCTCCACTCAGCAGAGCCTAGGGGCTCCAGGATCACAGTCAGTTTGTCATGGGGGAGAGGGGTGTGTGTCAGAAGGGCCTGGAGTGAGGCTCCAGAGGGGTCAGAGGCGAACACAGAGATGACAGGGGCTGATGCATTAGGACATTTATCTCCAGGGAGGACCAGATAATCTGACCTGGTCAGAGCTGAAAGTGCCTGCTATTGATAAGGGCCTCCTCCTGGTCACTGGCTCCCAGCCCCTCCCCCACTGGGGTCTCTGTCACACTGTGATGTCTCTGTCATTTTCAGGAAAGGGATAAACTGCAGACAGCTCAGCTAGCCTGGTCACCTGGCTTCTATCCAGCTCTCCCACATGAATTAGGCATGGGACCCCACAATGCCATGGGACTCTTGACATTAAAGTTCTCTCCTCTCAGCTGTGGAGAGATAAGAGAAAGACAATATTAGGGGATGATAATGGTGATGTATATTTGTTAATTAATTACATTTCTTAGTTAATTTGTTATTTTTTGTTTTAAAAAAAGATTTATTTATTTATTTTGTGTGTGTGTGTGTGTGTGTGTGTGTGTGTGTGTGTATATCTGTGCATCGTGTGTGTACAGGTGCCTTCAGAGGCCAGAAGAGGGAGTCAGATCCCCTAGAACTGGAGTTAGAGGCAGTTGGGAGCTGTCACGTGAGTACTGAGAACCAAACCTGGGTCCTTCACAAGAGCAAGTGTTCTTAAACCCGTGGTCACCTCTCCAGTCCGACAGGATCTCACGTAGTCAACGCTGGTGTCTTCATTAGGGTACCTGTTGCTGTGAAGAGACGCCATGACCACAGCAGCTCTTAGAAAGGAAAGCATTTAACTGGGGCTGGCTTACAGCTTCAGTGGTTTAGTCCATTATCGACATGGTGGGAAGCATGGCTGCATGCAGGCAGACATGGAGCTGGAGAAGGGGCTGAGAGTTCTTACATCTTGACTCATGCAGGCAACAGGAAGCGCTCTGTCTCTGGGAGTGGCTCAAAGCCCCCAGAAGACCACACCCACTCCAACAAGGCCACACCTCCCATTAGTGCCACTCCCTTTGGGGACCATTGTCTTTCAAATCACCATAGCTGACATAAAGCTTCTGATCACCCCGCTGTTGTGCCGACCTCCACCGCACGTGTGCTGAGATTACAGGCGTGTGCCGCTGTGCCCCACTTCAAGTGTTAGTCCGACAAATTAAAAGCCTGAAGGAAAATTGAAAGGATAGTACCTAAAATACCCATAGGCCCTCAGTGCACCAACTGTCAACATTCTGTTATGCTCGCTTTCTTTTTCTATTTTATCCCATAAATAAATCTATCAAAAATGGCTGTTGGGCTGGAGAGATGGCTCAGTGGTTAGAGCACTCACTGCTCTTCCAGAGGTCCTGAGTTTCATTCCTAGCACCCACATGGCAGCTCACAGCTGTCTGATGCCTTCTTCTGGTGTGCAGATGTACATGCAGACAAAATACCCATACACAGAATAGATGAATAAATAAAATTTTAAAAAGTGAAATAAACAAAAAACAAATAAAAAGTGTTACAGAATATTATTTTAACTATTAAAGTGTTACAATTGTTTTTGCTGTGGAATATTACTTTAACTGTGTAAAGGTGTGTTACTTTGTTTATTCTGCATTTGTTTAACTATGTAAAGATGTGTTGCTGTTTCACCTTGCCTGCCTAAGGCACCTGATTGGTCTAATAAAAAGCTGAATGGCCAATAGCTAGGCAGGAGAGGGACAAGCGGTGCTGACAGGCAGAGAGATTAAATAGGAGGAGAAATCTGGGCTCAAGAAAAAGGAAGAAGGAGGAGGAGGAGGAGAGAATGAGGGAGCCATCAGCTCACAGACAGGAGAGCAGTGAATGTAAGATATATAGAAGGAAAGAAAAGTAAAAAGCCCAAGGCAAAAGGTAGATGAAGAGAAACAGGTTCATTTAACTTAAAAGAACTAGGCAAAAATAATGAGCCTAAGCTAGGCTGAGCATTCAAAACTAATAATAAGTTTTGTTTCATGATATGGGAGCTGGTTGTTGGCCTGGTACAAAAAATAAATAAATAAATAAAAATAAATGGCTGTTTCAGCTGGGCACTTGAGGCAGAGGTGGGTGGATCTCTGTGAGTTCGAGGGCAGCCTGGGCTACATAGTGAGTTCTAGGACTATGTAGAGAGACGCTGTGCTGTGGAACAATCCTTCTGTACACTGTGAAAATGTGTTGCTCTCATTGTTAATAAAAAGCTGACTGGCTGATAGCTAGACAGGATTTTCAGGGCAGAGAGAATGCTGGGATGAATAAGGACACAGTCTGGGGAGTCTTGAGCCAGACAGGGAAGAAGCAACACAGGAAGTTCATAGATGAGGTAAACGAGCCTCAGGGCAGCACACAGATTAATAGAAATGGGTTAAAGCTGTAAGAGCTGGCTGGAGACAAGCCTAAGCTATTGGCTGAGCGTTTATAATTAATATTAAGTTTCTGTGTGGTTATTTGGGGGCAGCTGATGGGACAAAGCTAACCGGCAGTTCTGACAAAAAACTCTCCCTACAACCCTATCTCAGAAACAAACAAACAAACAAAGTATGTTTCTCTCTCCTGTGAGGTATTTTGTAATGCTGGGGGTGTGGTTAATGAGAGCCCTTTCTTGTCTAGCGTGTGCGAGACCCTAGGTTTATCTCCAGCACTACAAAATAAGTAAAGAAATATTTAAAACATTCCAGGGCAGGCATGATAATGTGTGTCCAAAATCCCAGCACTTGAAACCTAAGGTAGGAGAATCTCCCTAAGTTTGAGGACAGCCTGGGCTACATAGTGAATTCAAGGTCAACCTGGGTTACATATTCAGACAAAAAATTAAGGGGGTAGGGAGAGTTCTAAAGTTTAAATGACCATTTATTTTGTTTTGTTTGGGCCTTGTTTAGCCCACTATGTAGCCCAGGCTGGCCTTGAATTCACTGTGTTCCACAGGATGGTCTTGAACTCTTCCTGTCTCTGTCTTCCAGGTACAGTGGCTACCATGTCCCATGAGCTTTTTTTTTGTTTCCATTTCTAAGAATGCTGTTGTGTGTGGAGGGGTCTGCATAGATTCCTTATGGTTGTCTCATGGTCCACTTCCATCACTGTGCAAGGCTTATCACAGCTAAGGGACAAACACTATTACATTGTCACTACCTAAACCCCACTGTCCTTAGGGTTGTGTTCATTTTCCCTTATCGGGTGGATCCATCTTTAAACTTTAAAATATTAAAAATAGGGGGCCCGCAAGATGGCTCAGTGGGTAAAGGTACTCACTACCACCTGAGTTCTATTCCTGGGACCCACAAGAACTGACCCTGACTTCTGAATGCACACTATGGCACTCCGACACACGCACACGCACACACGCATGCACGCACGCGTGCGCGTGCGCACACACACGCACACACGCACACGCACACATGCATGCACACACACACACGCACACACACGCACACGCACACACACACACGCACACGCACACACGCATGCACACACACACATGCATGCACGCACGCGCACACACACACACACACACACATACACTCACTCCCATACAATAAATGAACACATGTACAAAGAGGGCATCTCTGTGGCAGATATAATCTCTGGCCCACTTGATTTTTTACTAGATTCTGTGTGTGCAGGGATGTGTGCCTGGGTTGCTGTTTCTGCACGAACTCTCTCTTTGTTAGGAAGAGAAATTAGCCAGAGGTGTGAAAGGCAGGCCTGTTCTGAAGGAAGACTCTCCCCGGCCCATTGGGACTGAAAGAGGTTTGCCAGAGGACAGAGTGCCTAGGAGACCCAGGGCTGCTGAGTGCTCAGTCTACAGGATAACACCGTGTCACATGATATCAGTGTCAGCAGGGGTCCCACCCAGGCGGGACTCCCCCACGGGAAACACCCCGTCACCTGGTTATGCTGGGAACCAGAGGACAGAGTCAGGGCTGGGAGCATGTTTGTGTTCTACAGTGACTGCCCTGAAGGGCTCCTCCATCGGCGGGTATTTGCTGAGTGCAGAATGGGACAGCACCCCCTGGAGGAGTCCCATGGTATCGCAGGACAAGCTCAGCACGCGTCAGGAAGGAGACAGGAGACAGGGAAGGCATGCCACACCAAAACTGGCTGTCTCCAGGAACTTCCTGTGACCTCGGAACTTGCTGTTGCTCCTTCAAGTGCTCTCCATGGTTTACTTGAGAAGATGGCATGGCCAAAAGTGAGCTTTGGACGAGCACAGAACCCTGTGATTGGGGAGGTACCCAAGGACACTCAGCCACTTGGGGTAACCGGCTGCTGTCCAACCTGGAGGACTGTTGGTCTGTGGTAGCTTACTGTTGCTCAGGTTCCAGAACACCCTCTCAGTTCACAGAATTCCAAGGTGAAGTTCAAGCCCAAGGCTTGCCTTGACTTCTTTGTAAAGGTTTATTAATTTTATTTTATGTGTATGGCTATTTGTCTGCCTGTATGTCTGTTCACCAAGAGGAAGCACTTTAGCTTGGTTTACAGCCATTCAGGGCTTCATTCTGGTTTCATATATTTATTTAATTTAATTAATTAATTAATTTATTTATTTTTTGGTTTTTCAAGACAGGGTTTCTCTGTGTAGCTTTGCACCTTTCCTGGAACTGGCTTTGGAGACCAGGCTGGCCTCAAACTCACAGAGATCCATCTGCCTCTGCCTCCTGAGTGCTGGGATTAGGCGTGAGCCACCACCATGGGGTCATATATTTATTTTAACCATATTTTATTTCATTAGTGTGTTAGGGGGCATACTACACAGTCAAGATTATATTGGCTGGGCACCAGGCCACACAATGTTGTCCTGCTTCTTGGGAGGCTCACTTGAGACCAGGAGTTCAAAGCCAGCTTGGACAACATCTACAGACCTTGGTCTTTTCTTTATTTTCTTTTTGAGATAAGGTCTCTTGTAGCCCAGGCTGGCCTCAAACTTGCTATGTAGCTAAAGATGTCCTTGAACTTCTGATCCCCCGGCCCCCACCTCCTAAGTGCTAGACTTAGGGATGCCCACCACCAAACCTGGCTTTTCTGTTTTAGCGACAGGGTTTCATGTAGCCCAGGCTGGCCTTGAATTCTTGGTCTTCCTGCCCTAGCTGCTGCTGCTGCTGCTTCTTCTTCTTCTTCTTCTTCTTCTTCTTCTTCTTCTTCTTCTTCTTCTTCTTCTTCTTCTTCTTCTTCTTTTGGTTTTTCGAGACAGGGTTTCTCTGTAGCTTTGGAGCCTGTCCTGGACTAGCTATGTAGACCAGGCTGGCCTCGAACTCACAGAGATCTGCCTGCCTCTGCCTCTCGAGTGCTGGGATTAAAGGTGTGTGCCACCACTGCCCGGCTGGGCCCTAGTTTCTTGAGTGCTGGGATTAGATGTGTGAGTTGCCACTCCTGGCTTGAGACTCCTGTGTTCAAAACATAAAATGAGAGTCAGGGCTTGGTACTATAGTCCCGTAATTCCAGACATTTGCTACTCTGGAGCCTGAGGCCGAAGAACAAGTTCAAGGTCTGCCTGAATTACAGAGTGAATTACAGAGTGAGGTTTAAGGCTCATCTGAGCAACCAGGAGAGGTCCTGTCCCCAAAGTGCAAAGAAGACGGGGGTGTGGCTCACTGGGACAGTACTTGCCTGTCATGTGGGAGGCCCCCAGACTGCAAAAAGTGACTAAATCAACTAATTGACTCAATCAATTAAATCAAGCAACTTAAAAACCACCATTCTGTTCCTGTTGTATGTGTGTCCACACTGGTGTTTACATGTGTGCACGTGTGAGTGGAAGCCAGAGGA